GAGCCACCCTGCAAGAAAGTTTGGCAACCATGGCAGTGATAAACTCCTACTGTTTCTTGGATTTTTTTTTTCGCAGAAATCAATTTTTTGGGAATTTCCCGCCTTAGATCTCAATTGTTGACGTGTTTTTCTATGAATATTCCCTTAGCCAATCATACACTCCGGTATTTTCCCTTTCATATGCGCTTTTCATGGAATTATATGTACAGAGTTCCTTTTTTTCAGATGTATTACTTACACGTTTACTTGTTTACTTGCCTTTATTGCACTCTCTATATGAGTAATTTATTGATTTGTTTATTTATTGTTATGTTCATCTATTGTATTTCATGCTCCATGTTGGGGTTAGTGTAGATTTTTTTTTGATAACCTTGATAAAAGTTAAAATCAAGTTTGCTTTTTACGTGAAAATCAAAGGAAAGGGGACTAGATGTGCTTATAAGTATGTACACATTGGAAGAAGGTTCTCGCTGAAGCTTATCATACGGTATATTTGACTTTCCCATCGAGGAACCGGCTGGGAACGTGACGATTTACTGATAGGGAAGAGATAGAGGATAGAGTTCCTAAGGAAATTTTTAGCGTTGCGGTGGAGCTCCAAAGGGACAGAAGTTACACGAGAAATTTTTGGGGCAAAAATAGTCTGTCTTCTAAAAATGGCCATCTGATTTTTTGTAGAGCTTTTTTAAGTTCTCCTGTAATTTGTAGTTTAAAGGACTCTCTGCTATCTTTATTTTAAGAGATCTGGATTGAAGATTTTTGAGATAAAACATGCCACAGATGTCATCAGACTACAGTGATTTCATTTGTAGTAAAATCATCAGCTAGTTTTGCCGTTCATTCATTCATTCATTTCATTCATTTATTCATTTATTCACTCATCAACATATAAGTAGACGTATAGATGGGTAACAAAGCTTAACTTGACTCACTTAAATTTCCAATTGGAAAAAGGAAGGGTGGAAGGATTTTTGGATAAAAATTGAAATTAGCACACTAGCAATGTTTAGACTTTGCTGAACACTTTTTCGCTATACTTACCCCTTAACTTGCGATCATAAAAGTCTTTTTACTATGATTTAGTTTTCCTTATAATTACGATAGAGTAAGTATGCGAAGTACCTCTTAACATAATTGGAATTTTAAGTTCGATTCAGCGTTTTACCTCCAAACTCTAGGATCCATTAAACATTTTTTCTTTCTTTTTACGAAAAAGCTATTTTGAAACTGCTCTAAATTCCGTTTTTCTCTT